TCTTGACAATATTGCAAACATTTTAAGATCTAGCCAGTGATTATTCAACGTGAATTCACGCGTAAATGTTCGGGTATGTGCATCCTTTTTTGATTTTAAACTTTCTCACTCTGCGCAGTGCAAGCTCCGCCCATTTCACGGCATCCCTGTCGGCCTGTATGTTTCGTTTCTAATTGTCTTGTAATTATGCCTCTTGTGTTTTGGTTGACATGTATTTCATGTAAGCTTTTTTCTTTTCTTTACATTTTCCTTCACTTCTGTACAAAACCATAGAATTCTTCGCATTGGGAGCGATTTCTTTTTATTTCTTTCACTAAAAACTTCCTTGGCCGAGGCTAAGATATTAGGCTTAATTTCTGGCCAGCTTTCTTCGACTCCATCTATATATATTCTAATGTTTTGTTATCACATACATGTATTTTCATTCGGATTTTGCACAATCCCAAATTACGATCGCTTCCTATTTCTGCTGACGTTAGTACTCTTACATCCAAGATTTGAGAGGGCTGTAACTCTCTATTCGACAGAATATAGTCTATCATAGATCTTTGTCCTCTAGTTCATATATCTAGGGACATCGGTTAACCCCAATAATAATACATATGAGGAAATAAAAAGGCGAATAATAATTGCAAACAGGTGTTATTATGGTCTATCAAAGTACTTAGCTAACAAACGTCTGTCTCAAAAAACTCGTATAAGGCTGTATAGAACACTGATAGTCCCCGTTCTCACATACGGATCAGAGGCATGGACGCTAACGAAAACAGATGAATCCGCTCTATCCATTTTTGAAAGAAAGGTGCTACGCAAGATATTTGGAGCGGTCTGTGAGAACGGAATATGGAGGCGTAGATATAACTTCGAACTGCAGAATATCTACAAGCATTACGTTTGGTGGTAAAGATATTACCACTATAATTAAGCGAAACCGCCTGCAGTGGGCAGGACATGTAGCCCGGGCCCCTGAATCGAACATGATAAAAAAGATTCTAACAGCGCAACCTGTGGGAATGAGACGACGGGGTAGACCAAAGCTGAGGTGGATGGATGGGGTAACACAAGATGCGGAGAAGATCGGATTCGGCAACTGGAAAATTCAAGCAAGGGACAGAACAGAATGGCGTAGAAAGCTTGAGAAGGTCGAGGCCCTCTAAGGGCTGTAGCACCAAGATGATGATGATAAGATCTTTGTCCTCTACTGTTTCTAAAAGTGTATTTGTATTGTTCTTTGTGAGGGAAAAATGTATTATTAATGCGAATCTCGTTTATGCTGCAGAGGTTCGCCAGAAGGTCTCCGTTTTCATTTCTGATATTTTCATTATATCGCTGTTTTATTCCTGAAACTATATCATTGCCAACATGGGCGTTAAAATCACCCATAATGATTATATAGTCATCATTTGGGGTCTCGTTTATTACAGTCTGAAGGTGTTCGTAGTATTCCCTTGTGGTGGTATCTCTGTTGTTCTTTGGTGCATGGATTGCTATCACATTCATAGGTTTGACATCCAGTTTAACTTTTACACTTACTATTCTTTTAGAGGTACATTTACATTTTTGTACTGGGTGTAAAAATTTTCTGTGTATTAACAGGGCGACTCCTTTTTCGGTTCTGGCTTCTTTCGCAACACCACTGTAAATCATCAGATAGTCATCTAGCATAATTTGACCCTTTCAGCAATGAAATCATTCCTGTTCCTAGGCATAATCCTCTTTCTATGAGCTGTGTGGTTTTAAAGTCTATCAGTAGGGTGCTAGACTCTGTAGACTGTAGACCCCCTCCTCCTTTATCCAATCTTGGGATCGGCAACAGTTCCAGCTTTTCTGTTCCTCAGTATATTTATTTGGGCCAACTGCTTTTCTACTCTTTTTTTCTTCATACTTTAAGAGGTGGGTGGGAACTCTTCGTAAGATACCAGGTTTTATGTGTGGTATGTGGGATTCCCTCAGCACCGTTGAAATGGCTGTCGAGCCCACATGTGACACGCCCAACCGCAATCCTAGCCGGAGCGAGCCGCTAAAACCCTCCGTCCTCTCAACCGCACTTGTGATCCGCTCCTACTACTTACACCAGGAATAGAATAATTTATACAAGGTGAATATAATACTTAGATATTACACATAATAATTTAATTGCGTCTATAGGATTCGCATATACAAAGTTAAAAAACTAAAAGTAAATTACATTCCAATATAAAATTACACATAAATAAAACTCTATACAAATAATAATTATACTTTTATTATAGAATCAATATTTGGTAATTCATAAATCCCTACAAATAAGACAAAAGCAGGCATTATGTAGGTACATCAACAATGTACGTCGTTTGATTACATTTGCACAAGTAAACAAAAATTTGAGAAAACTTGAAGACCACAATGAAACAGTTCCAGAACGATATTAAGAAAGAAACCTACTTATGTTAAACAAGATTAAAAGTCCTAATCTTTATAGAACCAAGTTGATCGCTTAATTCTTTAATTTCTATGTCTTTGAAGTAATGTTCTTGTCGCGATTGCCGAAAGTATCTGGAAAATAAATACTTTTCTGGCACATCTATTACAAACAAGAATTCAAGGAAACTGCTCTCCTATTTTTTGTATACTATATCCATAGCACAAAATATACAAAAATCTTCAAATGCAATGGTTGTAGCTGTCCCATTATCTCAATTATATCCATATTTTCTTATTAGCCCTTAATTTGAATTTGCATATTATACGCTACGTCATTTTCAAATTGTGTATCTCTTTAATCATTTACTTAATAATATTGTCTGTTAAGTGTGTTGCCTATACGTATATTAAAACCAATGACGTATAATATTTAGACTCGGTGAACGCTTTAAAAGTGTCCAAAACATGAATACCTTTGTTATTGTTTATTGTTTTGATACGAAGATGCACGAAGTTCATGATTTCTTACGAAGCATGACGAAGTTGATCTTGTGTTTGAAAACATCATGGACGTAGGAAAACATTTTCCCCATTTTGTGTGACAAGCAAATTTTATTTTAAATTGTTGAGAGTTATTTACTTACTATTTTAGTAAAATGCCATACTATTTTATCAAAATAATTATTTCTCTTATAGATGGGAACAAAAAGAAATCATAAATATTTAATTTTAATTAAAAAAATAATTATTGTCTTTAACATATAAATGAGCACGCCGCTGTTCATAGTGAGAAGAAATTGTTTTATTATAGAAGAAGAAAAACGCCAGAGTATCGACGAGATGATGGTCCCTTATAAAGGGAAAAAGGCTGGTTCACGACGACAGTACATAAAATCAAAACCAAAAAAATGGGGTTTTAAAATATTTGTTAGAATCGGCATGGATGATACTTTTAGGCAGCATACTTTTGCACAAAAAGAAGAATCCTTAGGATTGATAGGGCCTAAAGTTTTTCTTGCTATAACACAATCAATGAAATTACCGGCGCTCTGTGTTATGTATCAATTCTTCAAGTTTTGATTTGTTTTATATTCTTCGCCATGATTATGGAATTTTAGCCCAGGGAACAATGAGAAAATTAAAAAATTGTGTTATAGAAGATGATCACTCACTGAAGAAAAAAAGGAAGAGGGTCGTTTTGTTCAAGAAGTGACAACATTAATAAAATAAATATTGTGAAATGGTTTGACAACAAACCTGTTGTCCTAGCTAGTACATACATTATCTTCTACACCTGTCCAAACAATTAAAAGGTATGATAAAAGTCAGTGAGCAAAAATTGAAATCTCTTGTTCCTCTCTCATAAATCACTACAATTCTCACATGGGTGGAGTAGATCTGATGGAGATGCTGGTAAGCCTTTATAGAATTCCCCTAAAAACTCGTCGCTGGTGCCTCTTCATATTTGAACAAATGCTAGATATTTGTATAAATAACGCATGGATTCTGTATAGAAGGGATCAAAATATTTTACAACACATCCAAAGATTAAACTCTCAGATATTTTAGACAGTGCATATGAGAGGCTCTAACAGCAAAGGACAGAAAAAATAAGAGAGTGTTTGCCGAGCGAAACAAAGAAATTAAAAAAATTAAAAGTGCGTTCTTCCGAGACCATCAGAGGAAATACGATTTAATAAGCTTGATCATTTTTCTATTTATGATATTAAAGGCAGGTGCAGGTATCAGGTAGGCAAATCAGGAGAGACACACTGGTCATGTACAAAATGTCCTCTTAGATTGTGTTTAGTAAAGGATAGAAATTGTTTTAAATTCTTTTCATAATAGCACATAAGTAAGTTTTACAACAGTTTAGGTTGTTTTTGACTAGAATGAAAAATTAATATCTTACTTAATTACTTTTTGCTTCCATTTTTTATTAAAAAACTAGTTTTAGTACTTTTAGTTTTTTATTGTATAGTTTATTCACCTACAATCTTGACAATGTTTCTTATAAGACACATAATAAACTTTTACGATAAATTTGGATATTTGACTATGTATCTTGTGGAATACACTCCATATCTCCCTCAACTATAAAAAGAAAAATATAAAAATGGTCAAAATGTCTTGTGATATACGATATCACACTACCTAAACAACAATTTCACAAAAATTACTGTTATTGGCTTGACAAATTAAGTGTTAAAATGTAACCACACTAGATAGACCAATCTATCCTATAGGGATCTATATAATTACCAAATTAAATAAAATATATACATAATTTTAAGAAGAAATAATATATTTTTTCAAATATATAAATACAAAGGAATGACCAATTTAAAACAATTATTTTTTAACTGTTAAATAGAAAAATGTAAAAAGTACACCAGAATATTCAAAATTCTGTAAATCATATAGCAAATTGATTGCTCTTTTTATGTTTTTACTGGACGTTATCAGGTGGCTGCGCCAGAAAAATCAAGAATATGAGAAAGTATATGAAATTAGAGTTATTTGAGACTAACTAGAGGTTAGAGTTAAGAAAAAAGACCTCGCTGGTAACCAACGGTTACCAGCGAGGTCTTTTTTCTAGCGAGGTAACCAACGGTTTGGAATGCCAAAGGACAGATAGACGAAAATGGTTATAGAGAATTAAAGACAAGACAAAGACAAAATCCAAGAAAAACATAGCTAAAAGTATGAAAACATTACCTACAAATAATGTAGGTAAGAGCTAATATAATTTGGGAGACAACATTTATACATAAATATCTATTTAATAAAAAAACAATGAAGTATAAAAATGTATTAGGATGGCCTCAAAACTGTTCAACATTGAATTTATTATTGGTCCATTCCTCAGTTACAGAATTACAACTAATGTGTATTTATAGCAAAATAACAAAATATAAATAACATTTAGACTTAGCCCTAAAAATTAATACTGCCTGAGATGTTCTGGTGCATGGTAATGCTGTTGGGGATTGATTGACGGATGTATAGGTGGAGGAAAACATCGAACATGTTCAACTGACAGCTCATCGCTTTCTCCTGATCTTAAGAACTTATTTAGAATAGCAAATATTTGCGAGTTTAATACCTGGAATCGTCGTATACGATCAACCATTCTCTTGAGATTCTGGAAAATAAAATTAATCAAGTTAACCAACTACCTACGGGAATATTTTAGAGTATATAGGGTGAGTATAACTAACGTACTAACGAGACGGAAGATTACAGCGAAACGGTAAAAGATTTTCAAAAAAATTTAAATGTATAGTATATAGGTTGATAAAGGCTACATTTTAAAATTATTCTGAAATATACAGGTTGTTACAATAAAGCACGGCGTTTTAAAGTTATATTTTTCCCTTATGGAACACCCTGTATTTTATCAGATTTTCTAATTGTCTGCAAAAAATAAGGTATAGTTTTATAAGACTTCCCTATACCTATGTACAGAGCGTTCTGAGTTATGTCGAATTTTCTTAAAATATAAAACTTTAAATGAGGACTCATTCTTAATTTATTTAAGCAATTCTAATAAAATTACTCATACATCTAAATAGCTGGATATTGGTCGAATGTATTTCATGATTAATTATTAAATATTTATTTACAGGGTGTTCAAAATTTGTAGTTTCATTATCTGAATTATTAAATATTAAAAAAAATTTCTCTTTCGAATGATATACGGATGTCCTATAACTAGGACTGATAGTTTTTCCGTAATTTAAAATTTTGAAACAGAAATCAATTTCAAATATTTATAATAATTGTTACTTTCGATTTTTAAACCCATCATATTGACATATTTTTATAAACGAAACCAGTGTAGTTGTAAGTACATTTTTTGTAAATAAATTAAAATGTTTATGTCTTTGGATTTGTATTCGTTGGGAATAGGATAATTAGTATTAAAATATCATGAAAAGAAAATAAAAAAAAATTGTTGAAAATCTGATATTTTTTAGATTTTCTACAATTTATTAAGTAAAAGGCAACTGCGCAGAGGTTACAGTTTTTAAAAATGACAAAAATATAACTTTGATACGCCGTACTTTATTGGGACGCCCTGTATATTTCAAAATGGTTTTAAAATGTAGCCCTTATCAACCTTCAAACTATAAATTTAAAATTTTTTTAAAATCTTTTACCGTTTCGCTGTAATCTTCCCGCCTCGTTAGTGGTGACTCACCCTGTATAACCATTAAAAATATTTTTTTTATTTCCAAGAATATTGAATCAAATAAATAATCAAAAACTTACAATTCCTTTCACTACTTCATCTTTCATGTCAACTCTTTGTACCCTTAAAATGTGATAACAAAAATCTAAAGCTTCAAATCTTCTTTGTTGTCCAAGAAGAACAATCATTGTACACCCAGCCCAATGCAGACCTTCGCCAAACAATTCCCTAAAAAATTGAATGGTTTTTAATTTACACATAAACTTGAGAAGTTAATATTGTATCTGCCCTTCAAAACATTTTTTGTTATTTCTTTGTCTTCCTGTGATAGTATTAGTAGACTCAATTAGATTCAATATTAAATTCAATTCAATAGATTCAATAGAAAAATTACTAGTAGAGGTAATGGATTTTCTAAATAGCTATGAGAACACAAGTTTAAGTCTGAAATAAGTTGTACTAATCATCCTAAAAGGTTCAGCCGTCAGATTTCATTATTTGGCAGTTCTTCGTACAGGTTGTTTCTACTCCAACTCTTTTAACAGTGCAGTAAAATTTGTTTATTTTTTAATTAATTATTATAGTCTTAAGTTTTAATTATTGTTATAATCGGTTCCCAATTTATCGATAGCTTACTACAAGTTGAATCCTAATTAGAGAATTTATTCAAAAATAAAAAGTTTCTTGCCATTTGTAAAAGATACATTTATATAATTAAGGGGAAAGGCGCCAAATGTCGCCTGGCAAAATTTTCAATGTGTTTTAAATGTATCCATTATTTTCGAATCCGGAGAAAACTAATACATATTTTTGAAAAATTTAAACGCAGAATGAAAGATTACATTATTACTGAGGGCAGAAGGTCCCTGAAAACTTCTACAATGTTTATTTTAATATGTTATGTAACAGGAGTGAAAATAAAAGAGAAAATATAGTATAATTTTTAATTGAAAATATTGCATCCAAAAGAAACTTTTTATTTATTCTAATAAATATTTCATTCTGCCTTTAAATTTTTTAAAAATGCTTTTTAGTTTTCTCAGGATTTGAAAAAAAAAAGGGATACATTTAAAACACATTGAACATTTTGGCAGGCGACATTTTGCGCCTTTCCCCTTTAACACCCTATGATTACAACTACTATTACTTACCTTATATAATTACGATTAGAAAACTATTCAAATTCAAATAAATAGGATCAACTTCGAAATCCGAGACGTCTTGAGCAGCAGCTTAATCTGCTGGAAGCAGAAAACAATTTTGGCAGCAGCTTAATCGTTTTTTTTATACTTTACCCTATCCACCATTTACTGTCCCTGTTAAGAGTTTCCTAATTATGGTAAGCCTATCTATAGGACTCCCCAATCTCTGCATGCATTCTGGCCATTCAGATTCTCCCAAGAAAGCATAATCATTTTCATAATAACTCTAATTTTGATTCCTTCCATAATATTTTTTCTTTCTTGTTTTTAGATGTAGATATTGATTTATTTTTGTCTGCTGGTTTGAGTCCTATTGAGGTAGTTACCCTTACATCGTCAACTTCTGATTCGGCATTAGATGTCTCTATGTCAGAATAATCAGTTTCAGATACTACTACGGACTGAAGACGTTGGCACAGTATAAAGAGGTTCCACAGTAGAACCACTCTCTGAAAAATTGGAAGTAAAGTATGTCAACGCGCAGAGCGACTGCGCTTATTTCTTAGTCGCTCGAGAACCATTCTTCCGTTGCTAGTCGCGTAGAAACGTACGGGTTAACAGTGCCGTATTTTGCTTAAACTGAGTTAGTTTTGTGAATAATTGTTAGTATTGTGAAGTTGAACATGAGTAAAATTCGAAGTGGTATTGATAATCTTAAACTTCCAAATTTGTTAAATATATCTGCCGATAGACCATATTTTTATCATGAAATAATAAAATTTTCTTTTCTTTTGATACACCTCATTTATTAAGAGCACTTCATAATAACTTCCTAAGAAACAAATTTGTTATTGATGATATTATCGTTTCTTGGGAATATATTAAAAAATTTTACGAACATGATAAACAATATCCTATACGTACAGCGCCAAAATTGACCGAATTACATATATCTTCTAACAATTTTGAAAATATGAAAGTGAAATATGCTTCTCAGATATTTAGTAATACTGTTGCTGCCGGTCTGCATCTGTATATAAGATTTATTGTATTCGTCGAGGAAGCAACAACAAACGAAAGATTTATTAGGAACATTAATAATTTATTTGATATGCTCAATTCTTCTTCATTAAGAGGAGCAACTGAGTACCAAAGACCGTATAGAGGAACCGATGCTTAGAAAGAATTTCTTAATGCGTGTTTCCGATTGTTTAATAATTTACAGGTAATTAATTTTAAAGCTAAAAATGTAACACCAAGAATAAAATATGTTAATGGTTATAAAATAACCATTAATGGAGTGATTCATTTGTGGAATCTACTACAGTCACATGGAATGGATTATTTTTTAACAAGGCGGATGAATCAAGATTGGTTAGAAACCTTTTTTATGCATTCCGGTACAGAAAATTGCGAAAGAGATGCAGGCCATATTTTGTTAAATTTAACCGATATATGTACCGACGATTATCTGCCTGAAACCACTGCTTTGGTTCCTGAAAACACTTTGGATGACCAAAAATATCAAACTTCAAATAAATTACAGAAAAACTTCACAAGATATATATGTATATGTGATATATATATATATATATATATATATATATATATATATAATATATATTATATATATATATATATTATATATATATATGCACACACAAGTCTTAGGAAACATGTTTGTCTAATCTGTGAAGCATATGGGAGAGAGTACGATGAACCACACGATTCGTCTCTGTTTTGTTACGTTAAAGCCTACAGTGGTAATGAAACAAACGTTTTTGGCAAGTTCTATATGCCGAGCCAAAATTTTGTGCAGTATGTTACAGATTTGGAAATTATTTTTCAAGAGAATTTTCAAAATTTTAGTCATCAACCGAAAATCTTACAAAACTACGTTAGCTTATTCGAAAAAATACCATATACGCATCCTTGCAGCAATTTTCCAAAGGGCTATCTCATTAGATTATAGGCTAGACTAAGAATATAATACACATTAAAAATAATTAATAGAAATTTTAAAGTATCTAAGACAAAAGGACATAGGAAATAAATAATTTGGAAACATAATTAGCTTTAAAACGTGTTGTTTGTTTGGGTTTATATAACTGCGGACACTAAATACATTCTCAAATTTTAATTTTTGTTTTTACTTATAAGTCATGTTTTGTATACAATTTTATGCGTAAACTAATACTAACATTAATTTCTAATAAATAATCCTTTTTATATTTTTTGATAATTTAGTTAGTTAAGTAATTCATAATTTAGTTTTATAATGTATTTTTTTTTTTGATAATTATTTCTTCTATAATATAATAAATTCTTATGCAGCCCTATATTTATTTCAAGAGCTATTTTGCCATATATTGTCCAAGTTTCTCATTTTTTTAGGAGGAGAATAGGAATCACCCGGTACTCTCTCCAACTATCTGAAATACCTTCTGATTTGATTTGTTCTTGATTTAAAAAAATTTAATAGTGTTCTTTTTTCTATTTTGATATAAATTTTTCAACATAATATACCGTACATATATATTCCTATTCCCGGCGAAGTATTTTTCTTATTCTTAAGAGTGATTTCTAATTCATACAACCTAAATGTTACTGAAAGTGGATAATATTGTGTAATAGATAACACTGGACATAATTTTCTTAAAAACGCATCAACTCATTCTCCTTTGATCACTGTATTTACTTATAGTTTAAAAATGGATTTGACTAGACTATCTCTGGCAGACATCCTGACAATGCAGATGCTTTGTTGATCTGACTCCTCACGTCCTTACTAGGACACAATTTAACTTGAAAAAAATAATTTTATTACCGTTTCGACTTCCAATTCGGAAGTCGTTGTCAAAATACAAAATAATAATTTATTTTTGTATTTTGACAACGACGTCTGACTTGGAAGACGAAACGTTAATAAAATTATTTTTTCAAGTTAAATTGTAGCTTATTTCCGAATTAGAATAGTTGATATTCGTTTATTTTATTAAAAAATTGTTGAAATTGTAAATAAGAAAGAAGAAGAGAATTTTTTTTATTTAAATTTGTGGCTAAAAATCACCACAAAACATCTTTTCAGCAGTTTGAATTTTAATTGATGTATTCTTGCACATTACGCGATTGATTTGACGAAAAGACTATTGCAAAATTTAATTAATTTTTTGCAGACTACATCTAAAACTAAACGAATAATGCAGAAAACACAAAAAAATCGCCGATATAACAAAATCATCGAGCAAAAAGACAAAAGAGGGAATGTAAAGGCAATGGGGGGCAAAAATATTGTTAGACAGGAAGTGCCATCTTGAGAGGCCAAATTAAACAAGGAAAGAGAGTCTTTCCTTGTTTAATAAATCAAATTTAGTTGGGTTATGTTATTGTTTGTCCCAACTGTCACATGAAAGCTTATTTATATTGAAGTTTTTTAACCATTGTGTCACATTTTAGACTGTTATCGTTAATATTTATTTAAAGTTCTCGTCTAAGACACATTTTGAAAACTATTTTATAGCTACTGTTAATAAGTGTCGAAAAATTTAAATTTGGCGCATTCGCATTTCCGGATATGTCCGCCATCAGAGGCCACTTTTTTGGTCTACTTTTCATAACGATTAGATTCCCTCTTTTGTCTTTTTGCTCGATGAACCAAATTCATCTACGAAATGTAAATAAGGACAAAATTTCATAAATGTCAAAATTTCATAACAGTGGAGTAAACTTGCCTGCCGTTAGACGAATTATAAACAAGCGTTATGACGCGGTAAACTTGAATTACTCCTCCTGGTTTAAAAACGGAGTATAGTAATGCCGATGCCGTGAGAGCTTCGAAATTAATCTCCTTTTTATTTAACGTTTATATGACATGTACAATATATTAAAAACCATTGAGATTTTAAAACTTGTGCAATACCGTTGATATTTAAAATACCGTTGAAAAATATAAACAATGAATTATAATATTGTTTTTAATTTATTAAACCCTTTGTTTTTGAAATATTAACATTTAGTGAGAACATCTGGACAGTTAAATATGGGAAGCCGCATTTTTTATTTAAATAAATTAATAGTAGTAGGCTCAGAAAATTTTAATACGGCTCTGTAAGGTTAACGGTGGTGGATTACCAATTTCGTACTTTGCCGGTATTACTTCCTGAGATCAAAGTGCCGACAGACGAGTGGTTTTACTGTGGAACCTCTTTATACTGTGACGTTGGTTTGTAGACGAAGAAGGTAAATATTCTTCGTCTGAATCAGTATAATCATCGTCGCTTAACCCTCCATCACTGTGTTCACATATTTAGAACTGCGATAAAACCTTTGGGGATCCGTTTTTGTCAACAAATAATATCTACATAAATTACTCTTCAAATGCAGAAAAAGCCATATATTATTATGGCTTCGACAAAATCTGTATATTTTTTACAATAATGCCTAAGAAGCCATATACGGATGATCTCTAAATGTCGTTTTCTCTGACAAACTCAAGTAAATAATCACTAAATAGTATCTAACTTATAAAGAACAAACCCCAATTAGACATGAAATAATAGAAAAAAATTGATTACTTACTTGTAAAACGCCGATGTTTGAAGATAAATTTTTCACTTGTTCTAAAAAATCGCAATGCACAGCACGTTAGAACTAAAATGATTAGGTTGACTTGTCTATCAGAGTTGCCAGATTTTAAAAATATATAGAGGTTTCCAAACAAATGTACGGTTCATGTTATGCTATGCCTGCGTAAGTGCTGAACTTTAATCTTACAAAAAAAAATAGTAAACTACCGAATCCATATATGGATTTCCATGAGGTAGAGGGTTAAAGAAAACATAGTAAAAACAAAAGTATTTTTAGTGATCAATATATTTTCCGATCAATATATTTTTCAGAGCCAGTGCCATGGCCCCGTAGCCCTTTAGGACTAGACGGAACCATAAATGTGTTAGACTCTTTCAGGTTTTACTTTAACCTTCCAGTGCATCGTTACCAGTTTACAACGTATCTATACAAACTATTTACAACGTCTTAACTGTTTAGAAATCCATTACCTATACTATCAAAACATTAGATTGTGTAAAAAAAGCCGTTCCTCAGTAGACCGTGTCACTGGCTAGATCAGGAAGATTGGAAATAAAGGCTATATTAATACTTACTCCACTGTATATTCATTCTCACTGACTGGAATGCAGTAAACAAACTGGAGAGCAGACCACAGCCTATGAAATTCAGTGCATTCGTCTACGTTCATGACTCCGTTTGTTGGAGGGGGACCCACCCAGACAGGATCATCTAGAAAACTTCTCAGTCTACTTAAAACCACTTCAAATATTGATAAGCCACAACAAAGACGTTCCCTAGTAAGCAAGTCACCTTCCTTTGATATCATAGCTTGCTTGGCAGTTCCTAGCTTTTCTATGTTGGGAACTATTTGTAAAGCTTGGTATTTTGCTTCCAAGCGTTTCTGTTTAGCTTCGAGTTTTTCACCATCTAAAGTACAATAAAAATCAGTTAGAAAGTTTGGACATTTTTATTTTCATGCTTTATATGTATATTAATCAAGGCAATGAACTTCTTAATTCTCGGGAACAGGCCGATTTTGCTAAAATATGCTAACATACTCTAAATAACAGAAGGAATTTTGTTTTTTTTAAGACAAACTAGACTAGGTCACGAAGAGGAGGTAACGACAAATGGGGTAAAATAGAGGTTAGGATTCTAATTACACTTATACTACATTTGAAAACGATTAATAGCACATATTTTATTGTGATATAAAGTGTGAGATAAAACCCATATAATATCATAAAACAGTGATGGAGATTTTCTAAAATAAAATATTCAGCATTGGTACTGAGTTTTACCTGACATTTTTAAATATACGAATTTATTGCAATTCTTGTCTCAAATAAAAAAAAAACGTTTCTGGGCTTATTTCAGATGCCCTAGGAAACGAAAGTACTTGGGCAAGATTTAATTAAGGCTGTTTTCGCAGTTATAGCATACTGCGATTTGAAATGGGCGTATCACTTACTTTTCTACACTGCTTATGTTAGACCCTACGTGACTTCCTAATTTGAAATCTGCAGTTTGGATGTTTATTCAGTGGCGCCGGCCCACGGGTTGTTTAATGACAATAAATGCATTATTCTCCATTCAAATTAGTTTTGTCGGAATATTTTTTTTTTAGATTAATTATCGTAGATAATGTTTAAAAAGAATTAATCACATTTTTAATTTATATGTCTTAGCTAAACATAGTATTAAATAAAAATTTGTGAAACGTGACTGCAAAAAACACCATGGTGTTTATTTATAATAAATTTAAATATAACATAAGAATATTATTATCAAAAAAATTACAATTTGTTGTCACAAACAAATAAACAATTTCGCAGTTATAGCTTGAAAATTATTTCAAGAAGTTATTTATTTGTTAGAGAAAACTGATATTAGCGTAGTAAAAATTAAACAAAAATATTTTTATTTATCTATAAAAAATTGGTACCTGCGAAACCATCATAATAGTAAATGTATTTATCTGGCAAGTATTTCGAGGCGACGCACTGCGAGGAAAAAGTTCTCTGAATGGAATATACATTATTTTAATATATTTATAGGTTGCAGTTACATAAGAAAAGTATCCAGTTGATGAATAAAAACACAAATCGTGGATAGTTATTTTGAATATATAGTTAATTTGAATTCTTGTTAAAGTTAAATGGGATTTGTATGCATTCTGTAATGAAATTACTAGACGAAAATAAGTTAAGAGGTTCAATAATTACAATAATTGTACACATAAGGATATCTCCAAACTATTTATTAAAGATTATTTGTTGACACATACAAAAAACTGACATTTCGAATGTCAGATATATATATATTATATATATTATATATACATATATATATATATATATATATATATATATTATATTATATATATATTATATATATATATATATATATATTATATATATATATATGTAAATACTTTTTTCTTTTTGGGTGTGGTAGTCAATAAAAAATAGAGCTTTGCTAAGGCGTACTATTTATTCTGAAATCCGAGCTTTCGGTGGTTATTTGCCACCTTTATCAAGGTCTACAATGAAAATTACTGTGTTATAAAATTAGGCTGATGTAATATAAAAGTTATAAAAACTTACCAGAAAGTAAGATTCATAGCATATAAAACACAACGTTAAATAACATAATGTGATCTGAATTACTGAAGGCATTAAAAATTTAAAAACTTTAAAATAACTTAAAAATTAAAGAACATGTTACAAAGTTTAAAAAGTAAAAAATAAGACGACATGTTTGACAAAAAACAGTCGTCTTCGCAGGTTTGAATTCAGTCACATCTCACGAACAGAAAGAGGTAGTAGGAGGAACTATTGTTGTTTAAATAGTTCGATGTAACTACAAAAAACAAACTTTCAAACTGATGTCTAACAAAATGCCGTTTGTGATTTTAAGTACTACCAACCATGTTACCAACTTAGAATTGAGAGGGAAATTTAAAAAAAGTTTATTATGTCAAACAATAAAAAGAAAATAGTATTTAGTAAGTAGGTTTAGAAAAAACAAACAACCAAAACAAAATGAACATCTGAATAATAACTGAAGTTAATCATGATAATTATAGCAATTAATAATGGAATTTAAGAAACATGAAACACTCTGAGATGCAGAAAACCCTAGTCAAAAGTCAAAATAAAATTGTAAATTTTGCTAAGATTCTGGATCTCAGATCTTTTATTCAGATTGTTGTTATCACTCCTGCTGATATGTACCATTTCTAAGAATGTTCTCTTAAATTTATTTTTCTCTCTGGCTAATATTTTTACATTGTTGAAATCTATCTTATGGTCTAGATCGATAGTGTGTTCTGCCAAAGCACAAGTGGGTTTATTTAGTCTACAGTCACTCTTATGAGAAATGATACGACTAGACAGATTTCTTCCAGTTTCACCAATGTACGTGGATGGACATTCAGTACATTGAATGCAATAAACAACATCTCTTGACTCTAAAGTAGTTAGGGGTTGTTTTATTTTGCTATATAGCTGACGTATGGTTTTGATGTTCTTGTTAGCTATTTTGATGTTCTTAAATTCTTTGAAAATTTTAGTAAGTTCTACGGTTAGTTTTGGAATATACGGAAGGGCATAAAAATACACACTTGTTTGAGAAGAATTGTTTTGTGCTGAGGGCACTGATTGAGAATTAGTGAGAATGTTATTTCTGTTAACAAATGGAACATTAAAAATTAATTTATTAATCAGTCTTAGAGGATATGAATTTTCAACAAAAATATTCCGTAAGAGGTTAAGATCATGTTGGAGATAATCTGGATGTGATAACCTTTTGACACGTTCTTTCATTGCTAGGACTAGGTTGGTTTTCATTCTAGGAGGATGATGGGAATGGTAGCTTATGAATCTATTGCTACATATAGGTTTTCTATACCATTGTGTTTTCACAACATTATCCTCACATCTATGCAAACGCATGTCAAGGAAGGGCAAAGATCCCTCCCGCTCTTCCTCGCATGTGAATTGCAAGTGTGGGTTTTGTTGGTTGAAAACATTTAACGTAAATTGTATAGAGTCTGCTGGTAGTGCCAAGATTAAGTCATCCACGTATCTCTTTATAAAAGGTATTTCAAAATTGATTTGTTGCAAACAATCTTTAATCAAATCGTCTAAGACATAATTACAAAGAATTGGTGAAATGGTGGACCCCATTGGAGTACCAAAGACTTGTTTGTAGTAACATTAAAAATAAAAACATTAGAGTCAAAAACAAAAGAAATGAGTTTTTTGATATTAGATAAGTTAAGAGTTGTGTGCATTGATATGTCGTCCCAGTGTTTCTCAACACTAACCAAAATTGTTTGTAAAGGTAAACTAGTAAACAAAGACACTACATCAAAACTAACGAGCTTATAATTGATAGGTAATTTTAAGTTATTAATAAAAGAACTGAAACTGAAAGAGTCCTGAATGCAGAAATCATTGTTACTGTAGGTTTCTGTGAGAATATTGGTTAAAAAAACTTGCTATGGGGCCATTAGGTGTACCTATTGAGGAAACTATTGGTCTCATAGACAAAGTAGGTTTATGAATTTTTGGGAGTGCATAAAATCTAGGAGCAATTGAATTATAAATTTTCAAAGTTTTCCCAACTGATTGATCTATTTGATTCTCCTTTACCAAATCAGAAACTAGTTTATTAGCCTTTTGTTGCAGAGTACACACAGGATTGTTGTTTAACTTTTTATAATATTTAGTGTCTGTTAATAAGTCTTCACATTTTTGTATAAGTTAAATAAAAGCTTTTAAAAACGGTTGTAATATAAATAATAAATACTTACTGCAGTGCAATTGCTCTCCTTTTCCTTGACATAGGACGTTTACCGGGACTCATTTTTTATCTTGTCTCTTATAACTTATATCACTAACCTAATGTAATATTTAAAAATACGCGTAAACTAAACAACTTTTAACTTATACCACTAAACTAATAATATATTACTTAAACATACCCGTAAACTAAATAATTTCAATATTTTCAAAATAAATAAGAATACTGTAAACTGTAAAAACTAAGCAAGTTGATAAAGAAAATACGAGAATGAAAGAACTAAAATGGATTCTAATTCAAGCGAACTAACTGACCGTACCCATAGAGAAATAAAAATAAGACCGTACCGTACGTTCATGAGATTTGACGTCACTAATGCGATAACGATCAAGCTCAGCGACACTGATGAGGAACACGTTTCACTATTAGATTTCAGTATTTTTTAGCAATTTTCTTCAAAGTTTGAATACGCTTTTCTCGATTATTACTGGACACAGAAAGGTAAAAAAAGAATCAACGATTACAGAAAAAAAAACTCTTTCAACTGATGGGCGTGAAAAGTTAGGTTATAATAGAACGTTAAACAGTATATTAATCCAATTTTTCAACAGAAAATTTAAAAAAATAAAAAAAGTAAAACCATCAGTTTAAAGGCAACATAATTTCGTATAACATGTCCAAATTTCGAGACATTTCGTCGGTAAATAACAGAGAAAAAATTTTGGTGCACCGATAAAACAGCCTTAATAAAACGGTGCTCGATATCTGCCTTTTATTTGATCAAAGTTCATTTATTCAAGTATTCAACCTTATATCAATTTAAATGTGTAAAAGTAAACCTATGTTTATTTTAAATTAAACAGCAGGGTTTAGTTATTTTTAGTTAATTAAAGTTTTAGGTTGTATGACTGTTTAAGTTTTATTGACATTGACATATTTTAAATTGTATTGTCAAATTACTTAATGGCGTAAGAAATAGCATTGTTCTTGATTCTCTTTTTAGGTTTGTATATTTGTTAAGTTATGTTAGTTATAATATTATTGTTAATAATTTATATTGTAGAATTTTAATGATAATAAACTCTTTTTAGACGAATTCAAACTGCTATCTCTTATAA